TCTATCAATTGTATATGATCGTGCTCTCACGCATGAAATGTAGAGTGGTATCAGGTTTCCTAGAAAGTTGAAAAAATAAGTGTGATGCTTTTCTATGCGCCTCATTGAATTCATGAGTGCTGTTGCTGCCGTGCGAAACTAAAAATGCGTGGGCTTACCAAGGATGTCGACACCGAAAAAATTCATTATTTTTGTACACTCTAAAGTAATCGATAAAGGAAGACTGCTTGGGAAGCAGAGCTCCTTGTATTCGCGACAAATTGGTAGTATGAAACAACACGAGACACACATTGAAGTGTGCGGAGCATCGTGCGAGTTCCTAGTTATAAAAAAAGAGAGGCTTTTCTCTACACCAATAAAACAAAAAAAGTCACTCCTGCATTGCTTACATCAATCTTAGGTAAAAGCAATCGCTCGCGACTGGCCGTGGCCGGCTAGGCTTGGCGTGCGCATGCGCGCGTGCAAGACCCCCATGATTGAGGAGAAACTTGAACGCTGATGGAGGAACGTTGCTCCTATGGTCCTTGCCGCGAGAGGGCATGACGGGTAAAGCGCCGGAAAGGGAGGAAGTGGCTGCGCCGAAGGAGGAACGCAGCCCATTTCTCCATTATCGCTCCTTTTTTTTAGAGTGCATCTATTCAACACTCCAAGTACCATAATCTCGCATCTTTTGATCATATATTCCCCATAGAGAAGCACCGCCATCCAGCGGACATTCCAAGAACTAAAAGAGAGGTGGCACACGCACACTTTCTTACGGCTTGCGCTTTTGGTCTACACTCCATTTTTAACCACCTCGAGTTCGTGGTATATACTAGTTCACTGTATCTATGGCACTGCGACCCAATGCTCACTAAACCTTTCTAAAACCAAGGAGGTTACGTCCAGCGAGTATAACGTAGCAACCTTTTCCTGTCAGATAGTGCTCAATGTACATGCCAATGGCTGCTAATGGGAAATAAGAGACAGGAGAATTAGGCTTTTACTTTCTTACGGCTTGCGCTTCGTATCTACTTCCCACCTTTAACCACCTCGAGTTCATTCATGGTATATACTAGTTCATTGTATTCATGGCACTGCGGCTCAACGCTCGCTAAACCTTTCTAAAACTAAGGAGGTTACACCAAGCGAGTGTAACGTAGCAACCCTTTCTTGCCAGATAGTGCTCAATGTACATGCCAATGGCTGCTTATGGGGATCACTGTGTGTAAGTTAACTAAAAGCCGAGTGCTCCTGTCTCTCATTCCCCATTAGCAGCCATCGGCATGTACATTGAGCACTATTTTTTATTGTTCAACAACTCACAGAAGAAATCTTTCCCGGCACCACCTTGAAGGTCAAACTGTTATACTTGTTACATACTACAACAGCTACGAGGGACGAACAGGTGCTGCTATAAGGAGCTTCGCCCCTAAAAGTCAGTCTACCAGCTGCGTCATTGTCGCTGCCACTGGGAGGCGGCACGAACCAGCGACGAGCTGGCCGACCAGCTTTGGGCCACCCGGCAAGACGCTGGCCGGATCCTAGGACTTCTAGAGACCCCTAAGGCACCACTATCATTATCGACGGAGGCTGGGATAGCAAAGGCGTCAATCCTCTTTTCCCCTCTCCTCGTCCGAAAGAAACTGCAGGGCATTTCATGAAGTTAATCCATTCATGCGTCCCAGGTCGGTGTATCTACGACGTGGGACGCATGCCATTGTAACATGCCATTGACATTGATACAACTGATAATGATCTCCTGACGCATGTTAGGTCATACTCATGAGCAGCCCGGCAAGCGCGAGTTAAGATTACTGGCAAGATTAGGGTTGAAACAGTGAGGGAACTATTAGAGGCATTTCACGTGAGAAGGAAAGGGTCCGCTTGCGTCAGTGACACATCCGTTTACTAACAGACTATGATACCAAGAAAATTATAGGGGATCTTATTGGAAAAAATTGGAATGTAATTGTGAAGAAAGGAAAGTGTACGTAAAGTAACTTGCTGTGGGCAGGGACCATACCTGCGACCTTCGAATAATGCGTTCGATGCTCTATCAACTGAGCTATGGTGGCGGTCATCACTCAGTCTACTTTATGGGGTGTAGCTGTTCAATCCATAGACATGTCGGCAGTCACTGCTATGCATACCAAGGCGTAACTCTATGATATGCAGTGGCCACAAGTCAGCGGCGCCTGTCAGCGCCCTTCGCTGTTATTACTCAATGCAGTCACCAGACCAGCATGCACCCAGCGCCTACCAAGCTTGTACATTCAAGCAAATCGCGGATATAAATTCGAGGAGTACACACCCCAGGCGGCGCTGGCTGACGCTCTCACGTTTAATGCACATATACCCTATTACAGTCGCCGAGAAGTCCCCCAAAGAGACGTGCAAAGCAAATAGAGTGCGCTTTTTTCAATCTAACCTTCACTGAACTAGTCGGACAACACCTACCATGTCAGCACTGCAGAACTGTCTATTTACGTTGACGACGTGTGTATTTGTATTTCAAGTGTGAAATATGGTGTCAACTTTGCCTTCGCTTTCAGATAGCAACCGTAAACCTTCATAAACCAAGTCTCAAGGGGTCCTGATGAAAATGTGTAGTGGTATAGAATTCATGCGGAAGCCAATGCCTGCTTATGGCATATAATTTAACGGAGAACACAGATTGTTCAGCAGAAGCCACGGTTTCTTAGGAGTCATAATAGACAAAAGCCTCTCGTGGACTCCGCTCGTGAACTATGTGGTCAAGGGGCTGACCGCCACATGTTCACATGTTCAAATTTCCAGGAAAGAAATGAATGGGGAGTGGGCATATCGTCTATGCTCCAACTGTACAGGGCGTTATCGTATTCTTGCCGTGCAGTACCTGCAACGTCCAGCAGCGGCAAGACTACTCTATGCACAATTCACAGCATTAAAGTCCTAGCTCCTAAGATACTCCTTGGGTTACCCTGAAGTGCTTGAAGGGCGGAAACCATTGCCATCACTCAAGATTACTCAACCAAGATGCACATTATAATCTAGACAACGCGTACGTACCTCAGGCATCAAGTCAGGACCTGACAAGCCTCGCTGCTGAATGGCCCCGCTCGACATTCGGTGCCACTGTCTAAAAGCCCCACTCATCATTTACTGCAGTGTAAGCATCTGCATCCAAGCCACTGCTTCCTCCTTGGTCATTAAGCCGGCCGCGAGTGCAAATGATCCCAAGAATGCAGAGAAAATTAGACCTATCTACACATGACCTAACAGAATCGACGCTACTCCTAGTGGATGAGAAGAACAGTAGCCACGTGCACATCTAAACGGATAGCTCGACTACGTCCTCTAGTTCTGGTGGATCGGTGGTTGTACCATCACAAGGGGTAACTCTGTGCTTTAAGATTTCACATGTGAGGACGTCTACAGTGGCAGAACTACAGCTCTGCGTAGTGATCTGGAACTGATCGATTCTGAAGAAATAGCAAGTAATTGGGCTGTATTTTCTGACAAAAAATACGGGCGTTACGGTGCCTGCGGCAAGTTCTTCGACGTGGACGTTACAAAAAAATTAGACATATATGAAACCGTGAAACTTCATCAGGTTTTAATACAAGTACGAAAAGGTCATGACACTGACTTTCAGGGGTTACCGGGGCATTGTGGTATTTAGCGGAAATAATTCTGCGGATAATGCTGATCGCGAAAAGAAGCAAACAAGCGTTTTAGTCCTACTTTCAAAGACGGGTGCTACGAGGCAGATGAGTCAACCGGCCCGCAGTTTCACAATAACTGAGTAAACGCAGTAAACATACGATGCACCAGACTGCATGAGCTTGATCCTTCACTGCAACTCCGGCCTCCATCAACATGATTTGCTTCTCTATCGCATTTGGTTGCGAGTTGCTTTCAAGAAAGCATATGCCACGTTAATTGAATTGACTAACAGTGCGGCGTGTGGGGGATTGTGGCACAGACGAAAATATCGGATACCTGCATTGCCACTGTCTTTGCTCGATGTACCTCAGAGCGACAAGTAAATGCCGACGCTTGGCGGTGAATGTATGATCGGCCACTTTATGTGCAGGTGCTATTACAGCACCGTCCACATCTCTCGACAGCCCAAAAGGCAGTAAAAGCCCTCTTGGGATTTTTGAAGACGACGAACTTGTTTGAACGTCTCTGACCTGCGGTAGTTCTACAGGCTGCAATAAATTCACTGCTTCCCTGTCATCTTTCTATTCCCCTTCCACAATACCCCAGTGTAGGGCAGCGTTTATGGTTAACCTCCTTGCCTTCTCATTTTCTGTTTGCTTTCTATACCTAAACAAGTGCACGAATGAATGACAGCTACCCTACCTCAGTGGTCATCGAACGCGTTATTCGGAGGTAGCAAGTTCGGATCCTGCCCGTCGGGTGTTATGTTTTCGTACACTTTATTTCTTCACAATTACATTACAATTACTTGAAAGGACATCTGTTATGGTTATCTTCGCATAATTGTCTCTTATTTTTTATAATGCTGTGTGTTACAAAGAAAACGAGCAGTTAAGTTCAGTTTTCTTTCCTTCATCAAGTATACGGTCTAGATATGAGTTGCACTTTTTTATAAACAGATTACGTGTTGACATGTTCGAAGTCATGCTTTCACGCCACTGCGCATGATTAAAAGCTTATTTTTCTTCACCTTTTGCTGTCGGTATACAGTCCCCTGTATCCGCTGTCTCACTTTTTGTTCTTTTTTGAAGTATTGCGCCAGCAATAAGATGTTTAGAAAATCAAGAACCCTAAGTAAAAACACCACGATGGGACCTCTTAGTTTGTGCTGTGTTGCTTATTTTACAATATTTTCAAAATGAGTTGGAATTTCTGACTCCAACGCGTGAAAGAAGGGCATCAGGATCATAGAATTCCAATTAACTCGTGTTCAAAATTCGTTAGAGTTGGGCTTCAGAACCGGATACCAATTTTCATGCCGCTTATCACATGCATTGTGACCGGCTTTCTGATAAGAGCACAAGCCGACGCACCAGCACGATGGAGGCGACCAGGTAAGAGAACACCAGTGCCACGGTGAGCCGAACGTGAGCGTCGCTGATCGCGAAGATGAGCAGCACGAAGAGCACGTGTCCCGGAATGGAGAGAAGCAGCAACAGCTGGGACACCCGTGCTTGCCGATCTGCGGGGAATAAGTAACTCAGTACTGGTTGCTCCTGTCACAAAGAGGACAATTTCCTAAAAGAAAAAATACATGCATTATATAAGCACGAAAATTGGGGGATCCTCAAGGTTAGCCTTTAAGTGTTCAATACGACAGCATTATGGAGTCCCAAGTGTGTCCTCTTAGTGCATACTTTGTATTATATGATGTTAACCGAGAGATTAAAACTGTGGAGGCTTTTATATCTACCACGATCCTCTCAGCGTTCTTGGTAAAGGGATGTAATACATCATGACCGTGGCATCTGCGATTAGTTCCTTCAACGACTCGTTGCTAAGCGTCTGTCTCATTCGGCGCGTTTCTGAAAAGGGTATGTGCAATTACGTCAACACCAGCACAGCCCCAACTGATTACCCGCAGCGTCGGTGATGTACTTCATAGCTTCCATCTGTACCAAAAAATCACAGCCTATGCATGGAGTGAATCATAATGAGTGGGGCAAAGCGTCCATCAGTCCGTCCATGCTTACATCCGTCCATCAGCCCATGCTTCTGTCCGTCTGCCTGTCTGTGCTTGCGTCCATCCGTCCGTCCATGCTACCGTCCGTTCGTTCGTCAATGCTTCCATCGGTCGGTCCATCCGGTTGTACCTACGTCCATCTGTCCATCCGTGCTTCCATCCATCCATGCTTCCGTGCGTCCGTCTGTCCACGCTTCCGTCTGTCCATTCGTCCCCACTTCCGTCCGTTCGTGCATACTTCTGTCCATCTGTCCGTCCATGCTCACGTCCATCTGACTCTGCCTATATGTCCGTCCGGCAACCATACGACATCGTGAACTATACGAAGGCCCCTAAGGCCATATAGTTATATTATTTCCAAGCACATACACACAACGCCCTCTATTGACCTATTCATAAACTAGAGATGGCTACATACCACTACTCTTACAGAGGAGGGAACGACCCACAGCCTAAAAAATCACAGCATATCCACGCAGTGCATGATGATGAGAGGGGCGAAGCATCCGTAAGGCCGCGTTCACACTGAGCATTCCGGCCGCCGAAAGTGCTCCGAATCCGGTTCAGCGGCGGCGAGATCCACCGAAACGGCCCTCTCCGCTCTGATCGCTCTCGGACCAATTTTTGCGGCTTCTGCCACCGAATCGGTCACCGCGGACCAATAGGAGTGCTAGTCAAGAAATTTTGAAAAATGGCGGCCAAGCCCTACTCCCTTGTTATGCCGCAGTGCACGTAACTGAATGTTGAAACCAACGGGAGTTTAACCTACTCTGTGCCTACTTCGCGTCCGTATTTCGTGGAAGAGGTGATCGAGCTTGCTGTTGGCGTGACCGAGCTTGTTGCGGTCTTGCAGAGAAAAACGAACCCACCAACGCCGCTGGATTTTCTGCTCTTCGTGCATTACAAGACAGCCACTTGCCAGCAAAGTAAGCAGTACTGTCTTTTCTTGCTTCTTGCGTACGAGAATCGTCGAAGTATACACCAGCGGATATCGTAGTAGCGTTTGCGAGCCGCGACAACAGGGTGACAGCGCATCCATCCCGCGTTCGCCCCGTAGTAGAGGGCATACTCGGCGGCGCGGGGCGCGTCCAGTGCGAACAACGACGCGTTTCGGTGGCAGGGGAATTTCGGTCGCTGTAGAAAGTGGATGTTTCAGTATGAACTAGGTATAAGTGCGTTCGTTTTTGCTTCCATCCGTCCGCGCGTTCGTTCGTGCGTCCGTTCGTGCATATGAACGCCCGTATGTACCTGCTTCCGTTCGTGCGTTCGTCCTCCGTGGTGCATCCACCCATGCGTCCGCCGACCTGTGCGTTCGTCAATCTGTCCGTCCGTGAGTTCATCTATCCATGCGTTGAAATGTCCATCCGTCCGCACGTCCATCTGTGCGTCCGTCCATCCGCCCGTGCGTCCGTGAGTCTATGTTTCTGTCCATCCATCCATCCGTGCGTCTGTACATCTTGAGAACACTCCAAGCACAGCCGTCTCACATTTTTTCATCGTATATTCATAATGTCGAAGTACCGCTATCCAGCCGATATTTTAAGGACTGATTGAGAGGTGGCACGGCCGGACACGGGTAGCGGCAGCCACACGCTCTATTACGGCCTGTGCTTCTTGTCAAGTTCCCATCTTTCATCGCCGCTATTTCATGACAATGCTGCCAAGCCCTCCTTTAACCTGGCCAAAACCAGAAGGTTACGCGGAGTGAGTTTAACGTAGCAACCTTTTTTGGACAGATAGTGCTCAAAGTGCGTCCTTTTGCTACTATTTTTAAATGCGAAGCATTTCTTAGCGAAATTTGGCGACATTGAGCGTATCTTCTATCTATCTATCTATCTATCTATCTATCTATCTATCTATCTATCTATCTATCTATCTATCTATCTGTCTATCTATCTATCTATCTATCTATCTATCTATCTATCTATCTATCTATCTATCTATCTATCTATCTATCTGTCTGTCTGTCTGTCTGTCTGTCTGTCTGTCTGTCTGTCTGTCTGTCTGTCTGTCTGTCTGTCTGTCTGTCTGTCTGTCTGTCTGTCTGTCTGTCTGTCTGTCTATCTATCTATCTATCTATCTATCTATCTATCTATCTATCTATCTATCTATCTATCTATCTATCTATCTATCTATCTATCTATCTATCTATCTATCTATCTATCTATCTATCCACCGACGACCTACCGTTCACCAGCGGGCCAGCGCAGCGTGCCGAGGAAAACCGACGTTTGGCGCACCCCTGACCACCGCCGACTGTGCTACCACTGCGGCGAGGCCGGGCACACTTACAACCTTTGCCAGTACCGACAGATGGGACTGCGTGGCTTCGCCGTCGATGCACCACGTCCACAGCCAGGGGAACGGCCACGTGACATCGCCGACTACCTGACAGGAACTCAATGGACACCCCGAAGTCCTTCCCGTTCGCCGTCGCCCAGCCGCCGCATGTCACCGCACCCCCGGCAGTACTCCGGCTTAACGCGTGGCCGGTCCCAGCCCGTATCCGGGAAACTAAGGGCAGCAACCGGTGGAGGTGCGGTTGCTGTGCGACGAACTACCGAAGATCCTCCTCCGACGACGACGCCGCGACGGAGCTTTTCGAACACAACGCCAACCAGGCAAAGCCCTGACGGCGAAAGCTCACTTACCGAAGGTGGCCTGACGACGCAACATGGAAACAGCGGAACAAGCCGACGCAGCCGTGACCCGACGCCACGCCCTCACTGTAATGCGAGACGGCGTACTAGTGACCTCGACGTTCTTGTCGACGGCCACAGTGTGACCGCTCTCGTCGATACTGGAGCCGACTATTCTGTCATCAGTGGGTCGTTCGCCGTGAAGTTAAGGAAAGTTAGGACAGCTTGGAAAGGCCCTGAAATCCGCACAGCCGGAGGTCATCTCGTGACGCCTGCAGGAATCTGCATAGCTTCAGGAATCTGCAAATACGGCCGTTAATGGTGACTCTCGCATAGCGAGAGTCACCATTAACGGCCGTATTTATCCTACAGACTTCGTAGTCCCACAGCGTTGCTCGAGAGATGCCATCCTTGGCATGGACTTCTTATGCCTCCATGGTGCTGTCATCAACCTAAAAACAAAGTCGATAACGTTATCCACAGAAGAAGCACTACCGCCGCGCACGCCATCAGGACACCATGCCTTGATGTGCTGGAAGAACAAGTCACCATTCCGCCTCGCTTAAGCGTCATTATTTCAGTCGGCGCTCCTAAATCTCCTGACTTGGAAGGCGTCGTTGAAGGCAGTCAGCATCTGTTGGTCACCTGAAATATTTGCGTCGCAAGAGGGATTAATTGCAGAGCTGTGAGGAGGCAAAGCAACAGTTATGCTCACGAATTTCAGCAATGAGTACAAATATGTGAACAAAGGAACAACGGTCGCATACATCGAAGAAATTGTCGAAGCCACTAGTGCTTTCGCCCTCGCCGATTCTGCGGAACCTTCTCAGAGGAACCGAGCTCCCTCCCATAGCTTTCGACGTCAATCCCAGACTTCCGAACGATAAGCAAGAACAGCTCAAGGCCCTGCTCCTGCAATACGAAGATTGCTTTTCGTCGTCATCGAAAATTCGGCAGACCCTAATCACGAAACATCGCATAATAACCGAAGAAAATGCCAGACCACTCCGTCAGAGTCCGTACAGGGTTTCGACGCGAGAACGTGAGGTCATGAAGATACAAGTTGATGAAATGCTGCGGGATGACATTATCCAGCTGTCCAAGAATCCATGGGCCTCCCCCGTGCTGTTAGTGAAGAAAAAGGATGGGACCCTACGTTTCTGCGTCGATTATCGCCACCTGAACAAAATCACAAGAAAGGACGTGTATCCTCTCCCACGAATAGACGGCGCACTTGATCGGCTCCATAACGCCAAGTACTTTTCGTCAATAGACCTCAAGACTAGCTATTGGCAAATCGAAGTCGACGAAAGAGATCCAGAGAAGATGGCGTTTATAACACCGGACGGCCTCTTCGAATTTAAGGTGATGCCGTTCGGCCTTTGCTCAGCGGCTGCAACTTTTCAACGCGTTATGGATACAGTACTGGCAGGATTGAAGTGGCAGACTTGCCTTGTGCACTTGGACTACGTCGTCGTGTTTTCCTCGAGTGTCGACGAGCATCTTCGGCGCCTTGAAGCTGTACTTCAAGCCATCAAGACGTCCGGACTCCCACTGAGGCCAGAAAAGTGCAGGTTTGCGTATGAAGAGCACTTGTTTCTGGGGCACGTTATCAGCAAGTCTGGAGTTCGTCCCGATCCATGGATAACAGCCGCCATCGCCGACTTCCCGCCGCCCACTGACAAGAAGGCCGTGCGCTGATGTCTGGGCCTGTGTGCCTATTATAAGCGGTTCGTGAAAAATTCGCCGGCATCGCCGATCCTCTCACTAACCTTACCAATGCCGACGTGGAGTTCAAGTGGGAAACGCCACAGGAACACGCTTTCCAGGAGCTTAAACATCGCCTCCAGACGCCTCCGT